CAGCAGCAGCAGCAGCAGAAGCAGGAGGCCGATTCTCCGCTCGCCTGCGGCAGCGCCCAGCTGCTGATTCTATGCCTGCAGCAGCAGCAGCAGCAGCAGCAGCAGCAGGTGGTGGTGCGTTGGGTTCTTCTTTGTCTGTTACTTCTTCTTTTGAAGGAGAAACGATTGCATCTGCTGCTCATCCAGCGCATGCAGCAGCAGCAGCAGCAGCAGCAACAGCAGCAGCAGCAACTCGTGGTGCTGCTGTTCCTCTAGACCCATTGACTCGCCGTCGTTGTTTAGTTAGCCAGAGAAGAATAAAGGGAGTAGAGAAGTACCTGCAGCTGTGTGAGCAGATGTATTTCGGTTTCTGGGGGGGCCGCAGCAGCAGCAGCAGCAGCAGCAGCAGCAGCAGCAGCAGCAGCAGCAGGGGGGGAGAAATCGAGGCTATTCGGGGTGCAGGGGGGCAGCATATGGTAGCTGCCAGCAGCAGCAGCAGCGCAGCAGAAACATTCAGAGATGAAGACAGCGAGGTGGGGTCGGTGATGCATAGGTTGATTGTATGTAACAATACGCAGCGTGAGAGAGCAGCAGCAGCAGCAGCAGCAGCAGCTGCTGCTGCTGCTGCTGGAGGAGCAGCAGGGCTTGGGGGGGGAGTAGGAGGAGTGTGCTCACAACGTAGCAGCAGCAGCAGCAGCAGCAAAGGAGATGTTCAGCAGCAGCAGCAGCAGCACGAGATTTCGAGTGTATGTGGATCTTCTATCCAGCAGCGTCGTAGCAGCAGCAGCAGCAGCAACAACAGCAGCAGCAGCAGCAGCAGCAGCAACATACAGCAACAGCAGCAACACCATCATAATACAAGAGTTAAACTAACACCTATTGAGCTACTGACCTCGCCCCTGAGGCAGCAACATGTACTCGATCTGTGGGGACCCAAAGAAGTTGCTTTGTTTGAGGCCGGTATATGTAAATACGGAAAAAACTTTAATTTATTAAAAAGATTAATAAAAACGAAAACTGCAAACGAAATTGTCGATTTTTATTATCTATGGAAACAAACCAATCGATACACCTCGTGGAAAACACACAGAAATCTATCCAAAACTATGATGCACTCAGTCTTCGGTTGAGAGAGAGAAATATATTTATATTTATATATTTATTTATTTATTTATATTTATAAATATTTATATTTATGTAAATATAAATTTATTTTCGTGTATATATGTATTAATTTATATGTATATACATGTATGTATGTTTGTGTATGGGTTTGGGTGCGTGTTGATTCATGTTTCTGCATGCTGCAAGTTTAGGTGTACATACACCCGAGAGTACTTCATTTGCCTTTTCTTATAAAACGATATTTTACGTTTTGTATTTGGATAAAAAAGAGAAAGCAGAGAAAAGTTTCATTGCATGCAGTTGAATTCTCGGGTGTATATACAGAAAAAAAGAAAACAGATATCTATTGCATGCAGCTTCATCACCGGGTGTACATACACCCCGAAAGAGGGAAAGCAGACGCTAATTCCACTGCATGCAGCTTAATAGAAATATTATATATATAAATATAAATAAATAAATAAATAAATAAATATATTTATTTGTTTATTTATTTATTTATAAACTCCAATGTTTCATCTGCTTTTGTTTCTGTTTCTGCTGCACCGCAGC